AGGAAAAATTTTTAAAAATCCTCAATCTCCTCCAGCTTAAGAATTGACATTTACTCTCTAGGTCTTCCTTCTTCTCTAGTTTATTTACCACTCCTCTGACAAGTACTGAATTTAATGTTAAATTACTCACTATAAAACAGTTAATAATCATACAAAGTATAGTCTTTATAGCCTTCAATCTTATTTGTTTATGGAGCCATAAACTAGAATATCAAACCTACTTGCCACACCCACCTATCACATCCTCTCTTTCACAAATTGCCAATAGTTCTCTCTGAAGTTTAATACTATATTATTCATAACCAATAGAAAGCCAAAATTTTAATATTTCAAACAATGTATCATATTACATTGTTTTCTACACAGAGAATTGTCTATTTCGCTTCCAGTTCAAAATTTATTCCCACAGGAAACACATCAATGAGATCAGCTGAATTTTTAACAGCTCATATCACATAATTAGAAAGCCATAAAAATTATGATATTTACATGACATTGTCTGCTTTTTAAGGGTTATTATTCTGTATTCTTAACTGCATCATTAAATTAAGTAAAAACTATTTATTGTAGTATTACCGTTAGTACAAAAAAAGTAGGGTTAAGTTTCATCAATGGCAAAAAAATTATATACTATTATAAAAGTAACTAAAATAGAAAATTTAGACACCTATTAGGATACATAAGGTTAGATTAGATAAGACAAAGAAAAATAATACTTTTCATGAGGAATGTTCAAAAGTAGGCTGTGCATTACTTAATTCAATAGAGTAACATGAGCTACACATTTGCCATGTCATTTATAACTGATATGGTGGGATTATTAGTTAGACACAGTTTAAAGGGCAATAAAACAATAAAATTTAAGTAGAAACAGATGTATACTGTTATGAGCTTTAAGCTATTTAGGATAAACAGATGTGCTTTCCTGTTAAAATTAGTGGTCATTCTAGACAGGAAAAAAAAGAGGTAATTTAGCTGTATTTCCTGTTTTTTTTGGAAATACAAAGTCAGTCAAATTAACTGACTGGTACAGAGTTGGGTAGAGAGCATAACAGAT